CATTCATTATATGCCTGCGGTTTAGCTTTTGTTTACATGGATTGACCACTGAACACGTCAACAACTTCCATGGTGACCGTTCCTTGAAGTTAAAAATACAACCCACCACTGCATATCGCTAAAATGTGCCGGCTAGAAATTAGCCCACGCAAAGAATTACTAACGCTCGACAAGACCGTGCTGTTGAAGTCCTAAATGTAATTAAGCTCAAATCTTTCTATTTTCTTAGGTTAAATCAAATATTTGATGGAGATAATGTTCGTACCTTTAAGTTGATTTGTCCTAAATGTCGTAAAGTTAATGCTTTTACAGTTTTTTCTTGTTAATTTCGAAGTCAGTTGTAAAATATGTACTATATGTTTGTTCTTTTTCTTAATGCGTTGGGTTGGGATTTAGGGGTTGGGATTAAGGGTGTAAATATCTTGGAGGGGACTTAGAGTCCTACTGTATTTACACCCACCTTCGGGTGAATCATTAAATAAAAATACAAAATAAATAAATAACCTGGTTTCTTGGAGTTGGCTAAATCATATGAGCTTTAATACCAAGAAATGCAAGTTAATGCAGATTACCAGGAATCGCTCTCCTATTCTTGCTCCTCTACAACTGGGTGGTACCACCCTTGACGTTACAGCTGAATTTTCAGATCTTGGCTTCCTAACTAACCACAAGCTGTCCTGGAACTCTCACATGTATAAGATTTCCAGTAAGGCGAACAGAGTGCTTGGTTTGATAAGGAGGAATTGCAGAGATTTGAAGGATGTTTCAACACTAAGAACTCTATATTACGCTCTGGTTAGGTCACAGCTGGAATACGGGTCTGTTCTTTGCTCACCTTTTACTGCGAAGTATTACTGAATTGGAAAGAATACAGCGTCATGCAACAAAGTTTATTCTGAAATCTGATGATGACTATGAAGTTCGTATCTCTAAACTTAATTTACTGTCTCTAAAGCAAAGACGATTTCTTTTTGATGTACTCTTTTTTTATAAAGCTTTGAACGGATACATTAATTTAGACATTTCTACATATGTCCAATTCTATTCTGACACTGATAGGTACCCCCTAAGAGGTAAAGACAGCCTTACTTTAAAGAGGAACTATGCTCGAAACAAACGCGTTTAAATTTATTTTTTTCAACCGTATTGTGGACGTGTAGAACTCGCTTCAATTTCACGTCAGATCAGTATCTATTATTCCAATTTTTAAGCGTGGTGTGATAAATTCTTATTGAACAAACGAATAGGCCATTTAATTGTAAATTGTACTTTTATATCTTCTTTGTCCTTGCATACTTATTATGTATATCTTTTCACTAGCTGGGTGGTCTGTGTGAGCATGGGGTCTTTGACTCTTTAACGGACTATCCCTATAGTGTTTTTTTTTTCTATTCTGTTTACTATGCTGCCATTAAATTGTTAAATAAAATAAAATGAAAATAAAAAAATAAGGTGACGTTAGCGCCTGGTATGCAGTAAAAGGAAAGAGAGAAAGCTCTGTCTTCCTTCCTTTTTCTCCCCCTCTCCTTTAGGGACGGACTTAGGAGGGGGGGTTTTGGAAACACCTTATTTCATATTTTTTTCTCATATTCCCTTATGAATGAGTAGGAGAGGAAGGGTTGAAATGATCTGGGAACGAGGTTTAGAAAGGAAAAACAGCCTAAATAACTGCAACGAAAACCATTTTCTTTTCATTATTTATCCAGCTCTTTGTACGTATTCTCCTGCTGCTGTTTATCTGAAGGTGTTGGACATCAGCTCCTACACTACCAAACATCTGTGCAGGAATCGAGCTCTTTCAGACTGTAGCTGTGTGATATTGAACGCACTACAAGAATCATGGGTAGCGGACTCAGCAATGCTCCTGAGGATGAAAAGACAATAGCGAACTGTTTAAGACTTTAACTCCGAAGATCTGATTGTTAATTCAATTCTCCCCTTTAGCTGCTACACATTTCCTTGTGAATCAGTTACAAGAATTAGTTGTTAGATCCAGATTACAACTTCTGCCTGATAAGTTTGAGTATTCTCATTACCTGTTTGCGGGGTTATGTATGGATATTATAGGGAGAAGTTACTTGCTAATCACCTCTGCAAGTTAAAGTTAATCGGTTAATGAAACGTTTACCCGCGATTTTTAAAATTTAATGTTGAAAATTATGCAGATAGCATTATTTTTCGTACTTTTTGATAAGACCTGTAAATATATTGGGTCCTCAATCTCAAAATTCTGTTGTCATTCCTCCCAACTCAAGTATACGTTTTTCGATTGGAGGAGAACGTGACACGTAATACGTGCTCCCAAACAACAACTTGAGCTTCTCGTAGACTACTTGAATGAGGACACGGGTTCGAAATACCTAAATTCACGCTGGAGACCTAGCTTGTCCTTTTTGTTTTAATTCTTCCGGTAGGGAAAAT